AAATAATGATCAATCAGCAATTGACGTATATCTAGCCACTGCCAATTTTACTCCAACTACTTAGAAACACAGAAAAAGGTCTTTTTGGATAACTTTTTAAGAGCCCTATTTGAAAATAATTATTTTAATAATCTTCCTAAAATAAAAATATCAACAAATGTGAATGCTTAATGGTCGTTTGCGGTAGGTAATTCTACTTTAATTTAAATCAAAGGGGACACATAAATTCCGAATTTTGGTTTACCACGCTTTAAAGTCGTCCATACTTGCGACTGTTTCAATTTTTTAAACTAGGTACATACATCCTCTGTTTTGCAAAATCCACCATCTATTATTAGATAATGAGGAGGCAACTTCAATGGTTGTTATGGACAAAGAAGTAGCCATGGAAATGCTTTTGTCTATTATTTTACGATAATAGGAGCTTGTAACTAGAGATCTTTATTACCGGTATGATTACGACACGAACACAACACTATATTTTACATTAATACAATGTGCATCGTTGATCTAGTTAATTTTAAGTTTCCATTGAACGCCGGCCATTTTCCTTGCTTTTGCCTACAGGGTGGTATTGCAAGTGTCCTGTAGAATAAATTATATTTACGAGCTCCGCTCTCTCATGCGCTTACCAAAACTCCAAATTCTAATGTAAAATAGTAAACGCATTTCGAAATTTCTCTACAAAGAAAAATTCCCAAGTCCTTATTTGGAGCGAAAAGAATGCCAGATCGTTCCCGCTGGAATACTAATTTGTAAATTAGGAAAATGTCTACAGTGCCCGCATTCTACTTAATTCTAATGACGAGTATTTGATGATCAAAGTTTCATACGTCCTTACGAAATAAATAGCGCTAGCCTACTTAAATTGCCGCACCTTAATTACTAAAAACAAACAATTCGTTGTGAGAGTATCTTTTCATTTTCCTTAAACAGTCTTCACTTTCATTGAATGACCTGCACTGAAAAGAGAATTTATGTAACTTTTCTGTTAGTTTGTAGCTTAAAGCCGTTGCACCTTTGGGCAATTACAATATTGCACAAGCTCAATTCAAGTAGCCCACACGGTGATTTAGTACCTACCATTGATTGTATTGAAAACCTTTCTATTTGTTCTATATATGTAGGTATGTGAATATGATTTATGAAACTGTTTATTTATTATTATTGCCGTGTTTTTATTGGCATTCTTTAAATAGCTTTTATAAATGTGTGTAAATGGCATGATTTATTGGGAGGAATCGGTTTGACGCTACGAATTTAAATTGAAATGTGCCTCTGTACTTTTAATCCATATATGGAGCATAAGAATCTTGAGAAAGTATCATATCAAACCATTTTAAGAGAAACAAATGGTTTCCTTTTCTTCCGTATTTTTTGCCGTTGATATGATAATTTAAGAGTGCTCTCTTGTTAATAATTTGAAAAATTTGTAATCCAGAACTTAATTTTCTTTCGATTTCGTGGCACTAATAAAAAGAAAGACGACGGTTTTAATCGAAACACAGAGCATGCTCCTAATAATTTGAATTAACTGATTCCTAAACACACGTTGCCGAATTAAAGCTTAATTTAGTTTAGATGGTACACTTAAGGGTTAATTTCATCTTTTAGATTGAATCTCATTCCCTCTTCATTTGTATATAAATCTATAGGAATTGGTTGCAGTTGCAACCCTTCACTATTGTTTCAATAAACTAAAAAAATAAGTAGTTTCTTTACTACTACACTACATGCTACATACATTGCGCTGTACTTACGAACGAGCGATAAATGACAGTACTCAAGACCTAAAGTCAACGGGAATGCGAAACTGGTATTAGGGGATGTAAAGTCCTGCATTTTCCAGAAACAAAATGTGAATTAGGCTTATTTTTGACCACAGTAATAGTCAAAGTTGAGGCGTCACTGTCAACAACTGTAGCTAATCCTTACAATTAATGCAGTTCAAAATTAATTAAAAGAACACTATGAATCAATAAATAATAAAACTAAAATAAAGCTAATTACAAGGGAAGCAAAAGAAGAACTAATTCCTCCAGTTAAATTTATTATAAAACTCAGTTTGCATGTTCGCAACTTACTTACTTTTAATTAATCCCAATAAAGTGCAACGTAACATTGCAGCGTCTGGTAGATTAATTATGTCTGTCTTTGAATCACGCTTCACCGCGAACGTTTATATTATGATTATGAAGGCTACTTGCAAATTTATATCTCTAATTCAATTAAGTAATATTAATTGAAAAGAATTTACCTTGTAGTGCAGTATTCACTTTATGTACATTTGTAGTAACGCTCCACTCATTACACGACCAAATTGCACTTTCTTTTACTAAGTAGGTTCAAATCGCCTTGTTTCACTCCAAAAGTTTTAACTTCACAACGAAATTTGAGTTAAAACCTTCTAACCTGTAAGAGTCCTTAGGAGGTCTTAAAACCCAGTATTAGTCTTTAAAGATTAAGGGTAAATATAGGTGTGCAGAATCTTTATCCGCTTTTAAGAGCCTCTAAAAACTTTCAAGAGTTTCATCACCTTCTAAAGTCTCCGTCAAGACTTTCGAATCGTGTGCAAGTCTCCAAGAGGCTTGAGAGAACTTACCATTAAGGCTGTTTAATAAGACTCTTGTAGGGTTTTCTAGTGTTCCGCATTCTTCTAGAGCCTTTAACAGTATTTAAGATTCTTACCTTCAACTGTCACTAAAAGCCTTCAGAGACTTTTAGCCCGTATTCAAAAGCCTTCAGGTTTAAACAAGGCTCAAGAGTATTTTGAAGTCTTCTTGAGATTTAAGAGACCTTACAAGTGGAGTAAAATTGCATTTTCACGATCAAATATCTAATTCATTCATCAACACTATCACTCAAATGGCCCATAATAGCATTGAAATAGCACAAAATACCACAGTAATACGATTTTCAATAATTGTGTTCATTGTTCATTTCTAAAAAGGAAACTTGAAAGAGCCTTCAGCAATTTTCAAGCCTTTCGAAGTGTGTCTGAAAGCGCCGCAATAATTTAAACTCTTTGACTTATGAGGGTGGTTCAGCCATGCCAATATTACCCGACGAATTTTTCAGGGCACATTTGTCGTAAACGTTTAACCATTAGAGAATTAGGTTTTACATCTGCCGTAGGTTTCTGTGTAAATTGTTGGCCATTATCATAGACAATCAAATAATCGAGTATTTGGATAATCAATTACGAATAATTAGTATCGGTTTACCCTTCAGATTCGATTAATCAACCTTTGTAATACTAAGTATCGTTTTTGATGAATCAAAGACCATTTAGTAAAATTTAGGTGCGGTCCTCCTCATTACCAACTTTCGCATAGAATTGCAAATAAAAGAACTAAGCGCGGTAATTGTACACTAAAAGAAGAAATTGACTGATAAATTAGGGCCAGAACCTTGGCTAGTCACAAACGCTATTGAGCAAATAATTTTATTGTGTAATTAATAGCAATAACAAGGAAATATTCTCACAATAAAACTTTTATGTCTTAATATATCAATGGCACACAATTATTTAAAAAGGAGAAACATAAACGGCTACTTTTTTTATAATCCTTTATTGCGCTCTGAATGAATCGATATCTCAATACCAGTTATGGGTAATTTATGCAATTAATTCTGTATTTAAATAATCGTCTAACGCTAGTTCTTTTTAATACGGAAATTAGCAGGTGCGCGCTTGCGTTTTCATTGAAAACTACACTTTTTAAAAGTAACATGAATTACCGCGTGAAGGTAGGTGACTGAACCCATCGATTTATATCCAATCAGGTCCGATTCACGCATCGGAAATCCTTAAAATAATAGAGCCGCAAAAAATTATTTTTTCCCAAGGTCGGTATTGTTTGATATAAAATTATAAGTTCATTGTCAACGTCTTTCGTTGAATGTAAATTAAAGTTTTATGGTTTTTTTTTCAATTTCATGTTATTAGTTGTTCGATTATGGTACAAGTGTCGGCGAATTTTTTTGTGATTAACAGGGCGCCGCGAGAAGACGATCATTTATAATCTGAATTTGAGGGGGTGAACTATATGGAGAATTGGTCCGGAAATGCCACGGCTTTTGGCGCACGATTAACTTTCTTTCGAATATGAGAAAAAAATGCAAATCGCCTTTAGGTGTTAATTTGTGCGTGGAATTTTATAGCGAACATTTCACGCATTAATACCATCGTCAATAGAAAACCGCACCAATCGCATTGGATTATGCTTTAAAATATGTAAATAGTAGGCTATTCCAAATGGCGCCAATTACAACTAATAAAGATTACAATTTTTACTATTCTGCTGGTCGGTGATATCAATCTGAAGAATGTGATTATTAAAAAGATCGCGTGGGTTCCAATAGTTTGGTTTTATTTGCATAATCTGCCCGACACGATGTATCATGCAAAATTGCAATTAATTTTATGGAGCAATTAGATAAAAGTGAATTTCCAAAATTCAAATATATGCAAATGTGGGCCCATTTTATACATATCATTTGCACGTAATTTACAATATCGATAATGCCAATCTTATATAATTTATTTTAAGTTTTATAGCCATTTTTCACTGTTTCGGTGTCTTGATAAAGGTCAAATGTTCCAGCGATCAAGGTATGGTTTGTAGAGGATTTTATTTCCTTATTATCTCCTATCACCGGTTTATATTATACTCTTGATAGTTGGAGCTGCCCGGTTTTACGGAACCCTAATAGATCCTGGACGAGGGTTGTGCCGGTAAATGAAAATTATAATATTATTTTTCATGCTCATTTTCAAAAAATAATTGTATTAATAATCACCATTGACCTAATGGTATAATACCAAGCGCGGGTATTCAAATATTATATTTTCTCAGATCTGAGCTAAAATGTAATAAAAATAAATAAATAAATAAACATATTCTAAACGATGCTATTAACTAATTAACCAAGCATAATATGACATTTGCACAACGATTATTGTATTCAATGAATTTTCATTGTTCTTTCTTTTTCAGTGCTCGTCGATTATTAAATCAATAGACGGCTGTACTCATTCGAAAAAATTGTGTCTTGATTTTTCATCTGGATAACTTCAAGGTAAGTGTAAATTGCCATTGCATTTTGTTAGTTCTGATCAGTGGCGTGGCAACGAGGTTCCCCTCGAGGGACCCTTTTTGAAGGGCGAAATTTTTTTAAGGACGTCAGCGGCTTTTGCAAATAGTATCACCAACGGTGACAACAGAGCAAAACGTTACCGACGAAATTCATTCTAATTAATGAATCCATACCCCCAGACCCCCCGGTGTTACGTTTTAACTTAAAACTTCAAGCTCCGAGGAGGACTCTTGTGGCACTTTCAAAAAGGACCATCGGACCTTCTTTTTTTCAGGAGTATTTTATGCTTCACAGGAACGTGATGCTAAGTTGCGTAGCATCTTCTCTAAATTTTCATTCGAGTGCTAACGCAAAACATGGGGGGGGGGGCGAATGAATACCTCTGCCCCCCCCCTCACGGGATTACGTAGGATACATTAATGATTCATGATACACTATACTTTCCCTATCGTTTTCGCCCCCCTGGGGCGGTGCTACCGTCGCGCCCCGAGCGCCAGTTATCTGCGCTACGCCACTGGATCTGATTAGTCTAATTGATATCTTTTACAAATATCAAAAACCGTTTTGGGTATAAAAGTGACTAATTTACAATAATTTTATATTAAAAAAATGATTCACAAGCAGAGGCGGATTTAACCTTATGTCGCCCTTAGTCGCCGCTCTTAAGGAAAATGTGGCATACGGCAAAGTTGCTACATGTTATTACATTGCATATGAAGTGAGATCTCCGACCATTGTAAATGTAATGATACCGATACAGCTATTGCTTGCTTATACATATATTTTTTTGTACTCATTGAATGGAAAGATAATGTTTCCAAGCATCCTCGATGCACGGGAAAACGACTTTCCCGCATCGCGGTGTTTTTTAGTTTCCGCTGGAGAGAAGGGGTTATGCGCGTTCTTCGGTTGGTAGTACTTATTGAAGTCAAGGAACGTCATGTCATGGTTAACTGTCATCTGCTGTAAACTCAATTAAACCGTTGGTTGAGGGTATTTAGTGCGATTAATCGGAAGCAGACGTACACTAAGTTTTACCATTGAATAAAAACACTATAAGAAGCCTAAGTGTTTTTATTCAATGGTTTTACGTAAATATATAAACAAGAACTTATAACGCAATCAAATTATTTTTCAGAATTGGAACTCAAGAAAAAGTAAAATTTACCGTTAAAACGTCTTAAAATGTGACCAGTGATATTCTGCAACTATTCGCATATGCAGTTTAAGAAAGCACATATTAACATACACAAAGCTTCCAAGGATTTTAAATGTAACGAGTGTATTTACGCAACTCAAGATAAATCAAATTTGAGAACACATTTGTTCACACATGTCTTCTGGGAATATTACATACGATCAGTACACTTACGCGACCAATAAGAGCACTCTTTTCAAAGCATATTTGTTAACATTGAAGACTTCCAAGGATATTCAGTGCAAACGATGCAATGCCGTGACCAGTAGTAGCACTCATTGCAAAGGCAAAATATGTATTAACCAAAGATGTGGAAGTTTTAAATGTAACCAGTGCAATTAAAAGTGGGTAGTTACAAAATTATGTTACCAACCAAACATATGATTGTGTTACCAACTCATGATAAAAAAAAAACTAATTTACAAAACTTTATTAATTTTGACCTTTTTTACGCAATTCGTTACAAAAAATATTGTACCTAACTCTTTCGGAAAGAATTTTCCCGCATTCGCACTAAATGCAGCACTCCCTACGGTCGTGCTGCAAACAAAGTGCTCATGCGGGAAAATTAACTTACCGAACTTGTTAGGTAAATAACTATTACAATTCAACTACCAAAACCAAAACTTCTAATTTCACCACAAAAATTTAAAAAAAAAACTACATCCAATTTTATAGCTACCGTTACATAGCTACATAAAGGATAGGATAAATTACGTTTTATCATCGTTGTCGACGAATAGAGTAGCTTGAGAGGCATTTGGTTTTTGGACTAAAAACTTTGCCTCTCAAAGTCAAAAATGAATTTTTATTACACCGCGAAAAATGTTGTCACCTTCAAAACAACCTTGTTCAATTAAAAAAGGGCACCTGTTGTTTGCGAATAACACACCAAACAGAATATGAAGAATCGCATACGATTTTCAGGGGTGGAGGGGGATTTTCGATTAAATCTTATCCGTAAATGGAAATTAAAAATAACAATAGTAAAAACCAGCCAAATACATTATATTTTTGCTTGATAGATATGATACGTCTCAGGGAGACCTATCTCTTTTGCTCTGACAGTACTGATTTCCGACAGTCCGTTCGTAAGATATTCGCATTTGAAGTGTTGACCCCACCACCGTCTCGTCCAGACCTATTACTTTCCTTTTGCGAGTATCATCGTCTGATACCTTTTCGGTAGATTCTCATAAATGAAATAAATAAATTAAAAAAACTAGAAAATTTAAAAAAACCCAACGAAGAAAACGTTTAAACCCTCCGACGCCTGTCTTAAGCCCGCATAAAGGGCGAAGGGAAATTTAAGGGTGTCTATTTTTCTATGAATTGTTCCATTTTGAGCACCTTATCACTTTATCAATACATAAGGGTGTCTACTTGTCGCTAGATGCTTTTTTAGCGCGAAGGGTGGAAAGATTCTATATAATAGAGATTCTAACAACATTTCAAAAGGAGGTACCAAGATAACTCTAAAAATCTTTAAAGAAAAATTCAGATATACTGTAAATTGTGAATATTTTGAACAATATGATACCTAGTAGAAAGTATTTTTGTAGTAGGATGTATTTGTAAGATTAATTTGCAATATAAAGACTTTAATTTTACAAGAGAAGAGATTGAGCATCCATTAAAGAGAAAAAAGGGAAAGCGGCAGGGTGGGATGAAACAAGAAATTAAGCATAACATTTCGCTACACATCGTATCAAGGAGACACTGAGGAAACAAATGAACAGCATATGGAAAGGAAATGGACTACTGGCTTAATGAAAGGAAAGGGCAATGGAGCCGATTTACAAAAGAGGGAACGAAAACTATCTTATTTAACATTTGCATAAGATATGTGGTTAAAATTTTAAGAAACAATAATAATGGGAAAAGAAAGAGGAATAATGGGAAGAATGGAGATACTGGGAAAAACAGGATGGAATTAAATGTCGAAAAATCGAAGATGAGCGATTTGCGAAGGGGTGAAGAAGGAAAGGATAGGTAGAATGGAAGTGGAGGGAGGAAAGAGTAGAGGAAGTAAGAGAATTTGAATGTTTAGGATATCACCAAATAAGGGAAATAATAAAAAAAAAAGGGAGAAGTAGCGATGAGACAGGTATGGATGAATAAGAGAGAGGAAATTTCATAACGAGTTCAGAATAAGACTTTTTGATAGAATGGTTAAAAGGAGGCGTTGTTGTATGGAACGGAGATGTGGAGATCAACAGAATGGGATAAACTGGAAGGAATACAAAGAAGATAGTACAAATAAAAGAGGAAAAATGGAATGGAATGTGAAGAGAAAGAGGAAAATATTGACCATCTCATATGGGAATGTAAAGAGGTAGAAAGAGCAAGGGAAAGCTGGAAAAAAATACTGGGTCAAAAGGGAGGAGGAGAAAAATGGATGAAAAAGGTAATAGAAAAAAGAGAAGAAAATAATGAAGTGGGGATCAATTTCCGGTCAAACCGGAAGGAAACTGTAAATATTGATAAAATTTACTTGTGTTTTAATTTACAAGATATTTCGCTGTGAAGATAAACACTCGTTCTTTGGATAGATCGTAAATCAATAACAACAATTTTGAGGTAATTTTAGCACAAATTTCCAAAGAACGATTGATTTGGGCATAGAAAATAGTACCTGTACGAAATGAAAGACCACTAATCAGCGGAAAGAAAAGGCTTATAAGGTCGCGATGATTTATTTACGATATCCACACATAAAAAGTCAAATAAACTGTCGACATTTCATCTCAAGGGTGCCATTTGGCGGTAATTATCCCGGCAACGCAATTATCCTTGAGCTTGAGGCGGTAAAATTGTTTTTGACGAAAGAGTAGGTTGACGTTTTCTCTTAAGTGGTGAAAGTGGAAGTACACGCGATGATTAATTACAAGAAAAACTTCTGTTCCTTAATGCGATACTTACAACGTAGGAACAGACTGCGGTGCCCAGTATAGAGATGAATCTCGAGGATGTGTTGTAGTTCATGCACGAATGAGAATGTTAGGAATATTCACGATTTCAAAGCTGACGTGTCTTTGGCAATATAAATAAAGACGAAACAGTAAAATGTGAAAACACGATGTAGTGGTGTGACATTTGCTTCTAACAATTGTGTCAAAGCTTCAACCAATTTTCAACCAAGTCATGAATCTATATAACCATGACGAACAATTTTATACTTCCATGGCAATTAATATATGTCATCAATATTTTCTTATTGTAAAGTGAGTAACAAGGCACATACGGTGTTGTATCTTGTTTATAAAATCCCTTTAGAAAAACCCATATAACGATGGTGTAGCTGCTGTAATGATAAATGTTGCTAAGATAATGCTGCATTAAAAAGAAACAATCCAGTTTTGATCTATAAATCATGTTTCCCACATTTTTCTATACGATATTGAAATGGGTATTGATCTGTGGGGTATTTCACCGTTAGAAAATTTACGTTATACGACTACACAATAATTTATATACGCAAACCGTATAATTAATAATAAATTACCATTAAAATATTTCCAAAGTTTTCCTCGCCGCACCGAAATGAGTAATTAGGTAACAATATACGAAAGAGGCATAGTGAGAATAAGGAAACTAATTTATATTGTGCTCATAATAATAACTTAGACTTATCTATTTATCTTTCTATTTTCAAATTAAAGCTAACAAAGTGTGTCCGCCCAAAACGGGTTTGAAGCGCGGTTCTAATCCAGTCGGTTCATTCAATAAATAATGCTCTTAGTTAATGCTAACAAACGGTTTCAATGATTACCTTACTATAGGT